TTATCCTTCCTTGTCTGAACTATTTAACTTTCTGGTTTTTTTTCTGTCTAGTGCCGCTGATGCACTCAAGATCTCTATCGAGAACAGCAAGTATCTTGGAGGTTTGTGTTAGCTTTACAAATATATGTTCAATTCCTTTTGATTGGTTTTTCTCGAGCTGAGTTTAAATACATTGCCAGGTGATGTTGAACATACCCATTTGGTTAAGGGTTTGGATTATGCTCTGCTCAATAAAGTTAGGAGTGAAATTGATAAGAAACCTGATGCTGAAGATGATGTTGCCAAGACTAGGTAGGTTTTGGTTTCCCATATATTTGGTTTTTTATTCACTCATTTTGGCCTCCTCGATTCATGTGCCTCTTCACTCACAGTGCCCCTAAGGAAGATCAACGAGTTTCTTTCCGTACCACAGCTGCAAAGGTATGCAGTTTGCTCAGAATTCTGCAGATAAGGGGCGAGTTGTGGGATGTGTAGATAACAATTGACGTCTCTTTTTAATGTCTTTCAGTCAGTTTACCAGTGGATTGTCAAGCCTCAAACTATCATCAAGTCTAATGAGATGTTCCTTCCTGGTAGAATGACATTTGTCTATGATATGGTAATGCATTTTTACCTTTTTTTTAGGCAGATTCATTCCTGCTTACATGTTCCTATATCGCTTTTTTCTGTCTTCGGGAGTACTCATACATGTCTATTATTCTGCTTGCGCAATTCTTCTTCGACTATTAGTGAGTTAAGATTTGTCTTTGAGTCAATACGATACATGCGTCTCAAGAATATATTAAGGTTGCTTAAGCTGCTTTGCATTACCCTGTAAATGATTTAATCGTCATATAATGTAGTCTACAAAGGAAATTGTGTAAGCAGCTGAATTGGTTTTTTAGTTTGTCTTGCGTGTTTAGTTTGCTTGAAGAAGCATATCATTTCTTTTATTTTACCTTTTGTTGCAAAAGACAGAAAAGAAAAGTGGAATTTAGTATTTGTATTGATAGTGTTATGAATGAAGTTTCCTTTGAGATATTTCAATTGATTCACAAGGGTCCCTAGTCTCAGTTAAAACAAGCTAGCTTTATGGTGTATTTTAGTCTGTCCTTTCAAGGCCTCCTCGGTGATGTCAAAGACCCGCTATCTGAGTCTTCTATCTTAATAATTTTATTCCCCCTTTGTAATTCTATTTGCTGCTTTGTAGGAGGGTGGATATACCCATGACATACCAACCACGTTATATAGGAGTAAAGCTGACTGCCCATTACCAGAGGTATGTATACTTGGACCGCATTGTTGCAACGATCTTCTTGATCCTGGAAATATCTTAGGACTGTATGCAATGATTGTTACATTTGAAATAAATCGTTCTGATGTCAAAGACCCATTTGCTGCCTATTCTTCAACAGTGCTGAAGTAATTAATAGCATCTAACGTTAGTTATATACGTCATGGATTTTTTCTTAAGTAATTACAAGAATCATCTTATGATAAACAGGCAGTATTCATCATTCTTTTCTACTGATCTCGAACCAAAATTCGTATTGCTAATGTACAACATAATTTTCAAATTATAATTGAAATCACTGCAGCAAATGTTGCGAGAATTGTTTCATTAACAGGAACTAATGCTCTGTCTTATCTCTCCGACAGGAACTTGTTACAGTCAATGTTGATGGTTCTGTGCTAGATCGAATTGCTAAAATCATGTCATACCTTCGCCTTGGATCATCCGGGAAAGTTCTCAAGAAGAAAAAGAAGGAAAAAGATGGTAAAGGTAATATGCATGTTCTATGCAAGATCATTCTTTCGCACATGCATTGTATCAGTGATTGTTAGTTAAACAGGTCTCCTGAAATTGCTGTTTTCTGCTTTTCCCCAAATTTGTTAATTGTATGATTTAACAATTTGAAGCGAATGTAAAGAGTACCCCTTGTCTTCAACCACATTCTAGTAGTATCTAATGAGGCACGGTTCTTTGACTTTTTTTTAATAATTTGTATTATGCTAAGTGGTGCCAGTACATGGTGTAGATGTCGTTTCACATCAGCATACGATGAGAATTAAGTTGAGAAATTGTTGGTTTCTGATTCTTCAGCAATATCATTTGCTATTTTCTCTTCTATCTTATTGTTAATGCATTTTCTTTCTTTCTTTTTCCCCATCAATCACATGCAATGCAAATTTTGAAATACAGGAAAGGCATCAAGTATTGCTAATGGATATGATGAAGACAATAATCAATCTAAGATTGAGAATGGATCATCTGGGAACATGATTGAAAAGGAAGTTCTGCCTCCTCCTCCGCCCTTGCCCCCTGTGATAAGCCAAACGGATTTGAGTAAGAAACAAGAATTACCCACTGTTGACAGGACAGACGACGATGACATATTTGTGGGGGATGGCGTTGACTACACTGTTCCTGGTAAAGATGTGACGCAGAGTCCTATTTCTGAGGACATGGAAGAATCTCCCAGGGATAAGGAAAGAGTCTCTTATTTTGCTGAGCCTGCTTATGGTCCAGTGCAGCCATCTGCTGGTCAAGAATGGCAAGATATGGTCAGTTCGTCATAACTAATCCTTGTTTGCAATTTATTCATGAATCCTTGATCCTTGATTTCAAATTTTGCATTTTGGTATGTAGTTATTAGATGTAATTTATTCCCATATTTAGCTTTTTCTGTGTTTTTCTTTTCAGAGTGGATATGATGGCATGCAAACTCAAGGACTGGCTGCTGGTTATCCGGGAGAGTGGCAGGATTACCAATATGCAGAGCAAATTGGGTATCAGGAGCAGTACCTTCAGCCTGGAATGGAAGGTTATGATGTCCAACCTGAAACGGGTATTTTACAAGATCCTCAACTTATGTCTCAGGAAGAGAAAGATAGGGGTTTGGGATCCGTGTTCAAGCGTGATGACCAAAGGCTTCAACAGTTGAGGGAGAGAGACGCGCGGGAGAAAGATCCAACTTTTGTGTCTGAGAATTATTCAGAGTGTTACCCGGGTTACCAAGAGTATAACCATGAGATTGTCGGTAGCGATGAAGAAGCTGATTTGTCTAAAATGGACATGGGTGGAAAGGTAAGCTCTGGTTCAATAACATCTCCTACTTTATTTTGAAAGAGCAAAATTATTCAGTTTCTGGGTGTTTGATGAAACATGAAACAGGCAAAGGGGGGTTTACATCGATGGGATTTTGAGACAGAAGAGGAATGGGAAAAATATAACGAGCAGAAGGAAGCGATGCCCAAAGCAGCATTCCAATTCGGGGTGAAGATGCAAGACGGTAGAAAGACGAGGAAGCAGAACCGCGACCAGAAACTGAACAACGAGCTACACAAGATCAATAAAATACTTACGAGAAAGAAGATGGAGAAGGAGGGTGGGGATGTTGCTTCTTTGGATGCCGCGGGCGATGCACAGACTCCCAAGAGATCCAAACATTGAGTTTTCTTGTATCATATATTCTCAGAATCTAGTTTGTATCTTCTTCAACTCTGTTTAGGTTCCATTATGGATGGTTAGTCTGTGCGTTTGGTACAAATTCAGATTTAAAAGATTTTACAGCAAGTTTCTTTAAAATTAGGGCTATTCAGTCGTTGAACCATCAAATTAGGTGAGTACCTAAACGCTCGGGATTTATGTCTAAAAGTGTTTCGCAGCATTCGAATGTAGACAGGGTTGACTAATAATGTGTTGTTGTTAATAATATTGGACCGTTCTGTATGTTACCAAACTTAACCTTAGTTTGTTTAGTTAAGTTGAGACTTGAGAGGAGCACTTTGGGCTTTTAGGTTTTTACTTTTTAGCAGCAGCACACAAGAATGACGCTTTGGAAACCAACGCAAACGAATATACAAATGTCAATATGATAAACCCTAATCTTTCCTCACTCTTTATCATTAGAAAATGGCTACACAGGAAGAAGAAGGCTACGACTCCGACTGTTTCATCTTCTCCACTCCTCTCTCCTCTCGTGGTTTCACCAAGCGCGACGCCATCTCCGTCGAGAGTTACGACCGCGAGCGTCGTCTCAGAATCCGCTCTTCCCGCACCAAAA